AGATCCAGGTTCCCTCCATTTGGGAACCAACCGAATGCCCATCTTGACTTTGAATCATGCATCCTTCCTTCTCTTTTTCTTTTCTTTTTCCTCAAAGTTCTGATTTTGATTTCCTTTAGCTTATGTGTCTTTATCTCATAGAATTTGGGAAATTGTTCTTTCCTTTTTTGGCCTAAAGATTATGATTGGATCAAAGGTTACAGGCTTATTGCATGGTTAACTTCAATTCTCAGGACTCTACAAATTTATCTTCCTTTAACAATGTCCAGATCAGGAGACCAAATTGCCTCAAAGTTTGGTAGCCCAGAAAGCATGGCCTGAGGTTGTGAGCTTTGCAAGGGTGATTCTTAACTCAAGTTTCTGTTGCGCTGAACGAAATGATAACAGGATGCCAAATCCATGACACCAAAGAACAGGTTCCTCCAGGCAAGGGTAGGGCCAGGAATACCAATGACCCTCACATTGCTTGTTGGTGACAAATTGCACCAGTGGTGGACTAGAACCCAGAGAAGGTATAAGGGCTCCCTTTGTTGACTAAAACTCTTAAAGGCAGTCACTATTGGTCATAAAGTTGGGAAGAATATTTGAGAAGAGCTTTGTAGGCAGAAAAGGCTTCTGTATATGAAAGATATAATTATTTCCATCATCAGAGAAGCAACTCAAAATGCACACTTTCTCTGTGCCCAATAACCAATGTTACCTCTACTTGCAAAAGAAGTGTATAAAGTGCCCTCAACCTGGAACCAAAAGACTGGTGCATACGACCTGCTTCTGTCAGTTACCAGTTGTATGGCAAACCATTTTTTGATCATTAAAATGAGAATGATAATGGAATGCTAATCTTTGCTCTACCTAACTTGTGGGGTCATTGTGAGACTCGAATGAGATAATAAATAAAAAATGAAACTTGAAAGCAAGGCTTCATAAAGGAAGTACTATAAACAAACAGACAAATAAAACACATACGATAGGAGAACACAGATTTCCTTAGAAAAGAACAAGTGGGAAGACAATTCGAGTGATTGTGAAGAGTCGAGTCACCTGGCAGAAGTTACTAAATTTAATGGGTATATCTAAAAAGACGATCAATACCAATCATTGTGGAGAGTTAAATATGCAGTCATAAGAATCTGTTTAACTGCCATAGACGCAAAAGGTGATGATCATTTTGCTGAGCCTGAGACTGTGAATCCGTGTCAAATTCAGATGGAGCTGACGAGCATTTGCTGCAATGATCAGAAGGAAATGAAGAAGAAGAAAATCAAAGTGAAGTAGACTGCATCCTCTCGGTAGACTCATAAGCCTTGTAGAAAAGGATGACAACCAAGCTCAGTGGCAGCATGTTGTTTCTCAGCAGAGCTTAGGGAGCAAGTTTCTCCTAGGAAGAGTAACTTTGGCAAAATGGTCTAGGAAATATGTCTCTAGTGGATGGTGGGTCTGCAGCAAGTGGATTAGCAGCAGGAAGGCTGGCAGTAGCTGGGCACACAGCAAGGGCTGCAGCAGCAGCTGGGCTGGCAGCAGGTGGTCTGACAGTAGCCAGGGAGGCAGCAAGGGTGGCAGCAGCTGGATCCGCAGCTCTGGGCTTGGCACCATGGTCAATACTAAAGGCTAACTCTGCATCAGAGTTCTGCCACAATCAGAATGTCTGATAATTTCTCTTTAAACATGATAAATAGCAAGAAAATAATCCAAGACATGGTAACGACAGCTCCTCAGCAGGGCATAAACAGGATTAGAGAGAAGGATTTAAGAATCTCACTCTCCTGGAAACCCACCCGGGACCTCCACCCCCTCACACCATGGCCAGCTCTCGTTGTAGCTCCCTCTGCTCTGAGCAGGGCAGTGGCCAAGGCCTCTGCCAGGAAACCTGCTGCCGCCCAGCTGCTGCCAGACCACGTGCTGCAGGAAGACCTGATGCCGCCTCAGCTGTTGTGCGTCCCCCTGCTGCTGCGCTAGCTGCCGCATTTCTAGCTGCTGCCACCCCTTCTGCTACAGTTCCAGCTGCTGCCATCCAGTCTGTGGCCGAACACCTCCAGCTGTCACAGCTGCTGCCACCCTCCAATCTGCGGCAGATCCCCTTGTTGTTGAACTTCATTCCTCACCCCCAGCCCTGAGTCAACCACCGTGAGTCCAGCATCAGCCTTGTTCTCACTTCCTTTGTCCACGTCAACCGGCCTTGCTCCGATGTGTCACTGCTTATTCATCCCATCAGTCATGACGCCCAGCAACCGCTTAAAAAGCAACAATTTAAACTAAATACAACTGCTTAAAAAGCAACAATTTAAACTAAATACCACACAAAAACACCAAGTTCTATGGCTATTACCTTGGCGTTCAGTCAGATGGCCAAATGTCTACACTACTTTGTGGGCACAGGTTCCAATTCCTATGATTGCTGTGCATGGCTTGGCCTTCCCAATGGATTTGTCATAAAATAACTATGTCTTGACAATTACTTACTCTCTTTGTATCTGAAACATTTGTGGCCCTTAATTATTTTTTAGTGTTGATTATGAACTGGAGATAAGTTTGTGTTTCCGTCATGCAAACAAAGAAAACTGATTTTGTGTAGGATCAAAGCCTACATCAGAACAAATGCCAAATAATTAGTTTTGTCTCAAATCAGATTGCCCCCCATGGCTGCCATCAAGTTAACTGAGAGAAAACAAGAACGCCCTCTTTCCTATAATTGAATTATGGATCACCTAGCAAGGTCCTTGTGCTATTGGGCTCTGAGAAGCACATAAGTTGATGGAGACCTGGTTCCCATCCCTCAGGTAACCGACAGTGAAATCTTGGATTTAATAGGAAGATAGATGTCAGATAGAGTATATTGATAATATTGGTGAGAAAGAGGAATCATTTTATTGGAAGAGGGTAATATGTAAGGATTGATTACTGGAAATTGTGTCATGTGAAAATTCAGGGGAAGGTTTACAGCTCACAGACACACAAGACAAGACAAAGTGAAGGAGAGGATCAGATGAAAGCAGAGTATTCATGTTCTTACAAAGATAATTGTTATATACAAAGTACCAAAAAGCATGATACTCACTTTCAGGAGCAGGGGACTCTCCTAGCTGTCTCTTTGCCTTCAGACAGAGGAGCAACCATCTCTACACAAAAAAATCACCATAGAACTGGGGCCCAATTAGATTGGAATCCTAAGCCTACAGTGCCTGGACTTGTCTTGACTGGAATAGTGACCTCTCGTTGATGTGTTAATCATGTCTTCATTATATTAACTTTCCGGTTGTCATAAGCACTTTGAGCTACATTGGAACTAAGTGCAAAATACTATTATGAATGCAAGGAAAAATGATAAAACCACAGTTGTAGCAGGAGAGACTTTAACAAACCATTTCAACATGGTCATTAGAAAGAGAAAATAAAGAAGGATATAGAGGATTTGAGTAGGACCATTGTCAATTTAGGTTTAATTGATATTTATATGCTCTCTTATGTTTAACAAATTGTTTCCATAATTTTCATATACACCCAGAAGATTCACAAAACACACAGGCTACAAAGAAAATCTTAATACCAGAAATAACATAAGTCTTTTTCTCTTACCAAAATGCGGTGAAATTAGACTCAATAACTGGAAAACAGCAGAAACAAACATGTTCTTGTGGCTTTCCTTCCTTTCCTATTTCTCTCCTTCCTGAATAATTCAGACTAGAAGGCAAGATGGTGTCTGTATTGGATACGGATGGCCTGTTTTTCCTTAAAAGTGTACTTAATTTTTTTTATGGAAATAATTCTAAAGTTAGAGAACTTGTGAGAGTAGTGAAGAGAGCGTTCATTTCAGGACGAAATGATGCTCCATCACTGCTAAACACCTTTTCTCCTATGTCAAGGACATTCTCCTCCATGACCACAATACAATTCAGTCTGACTTTTCTCTTACAAAGAATGCTGCAAAGAACATCTTGAATTTATGTCCCGGAGCACATGGATAAGTGTACCTGTTGAATACATTTCCAGAAGTGAAATTGCTCAATCAAAGGTAATGCACATTTAAAAATCTTATAAAAACTGTTAAATTAGGCTATAAAGAAATTGGTCCAATTTAGACCCCTGCCATCTGTGTATGAGAATGTCTGCTTCCATAGAACCTCAGCAACTTGTTAAAACTTTCAAAGTAAAAATTTTATATTTGTCATTCTAAACTATTCACTGTTGTATCTCCAAAGCATAGGGCAGGACCTGGCACACAGTAGGTGTTCTATAGACGATTTGATAATTGGATAAACTGGTCAAATAAAAAGTTTTAAATTGTAAGTGAGACAGAACATATTTCAATAGCTTAAAAGCCATTTGTGTTTCTTTTTCAGTGAAATGACTATTTGGTTGTTGGCCTTTTTTCTTACTGAGTTATAAGAGATATTCATGCATTCAGGAAATCAGCTCTTTTCTCTTATATTAGTTAAGATATTTATTATTTATTCCCAGTTGGCTCTTAAGCTTTTCGGTTTTGTTTGAGGCTTAAAAAACCAGGTAGGCATTTAAATGTTTCTGTTGTACAATTTTTCAGTCTTTACCTTTATTGCTATTGACTCTTCACTTCAAATGTTTCAAGAAAAATTCTTCCAAGTGTTCTGGTGTGCTCACGCCTTGTGTTTCTCAAGAGTCTTTAGAAAACAGACACACTGTCCCAGTTGAGGGCTGGTGTGAGAAAAAAACATTAAAGACAATACCTAGAGTGTTGAGTTCCAAATGATGTGTCACATGACAACCAAACTAGTGAGGAAGCTGAGGACTCCTTGAAATTAGATGATACACAGAAGGAAGAAGACAAGAGTGACTCAGGAGGAATGACTGGATTGGAAGCACCCTACCTCAGAGGAAGGAAAAAATGCATTCTATCCAACTTTATATAGATTCCCTACAGTTAACTAATTTGCTAATTGCCTATCTATTAAGATAAACAATAACAAAGAAATAGCCCTCAACCTGGTGACAGCAGCCCCTCAGCTGGGTATAAAAGTGGACATGGGATAAGGAGTCTCCCACATTTGGGAAACTCACTCTCCTGGAAACCCAGCCAGAACCTCCACCCTCTGACACCATGGTCAGCTCCTGTTGTGGCTCTGTCTGCTCTGACCAGGGCTGTGGCCTGGAGACCTGTTGCCGCCCCAGCTGCTGCCAGACCACCTGCTGCCGCCCCAGCTGTGGAGTGTCCAGCTGCCTGCGCCCAGTCTGCTGCCAGACCACCTGCCGCCCCAGCTGTGGAGTGTCCAGCTGCCTGCGCCCAGTCTGCTGCCAGACCACCTGCCGCCCCAGCTGTGGAGTGTCCAGCTGCCTGCGCCCAGTCTGCTGCCAGACCACCTGCCGCCCCAGCTGTGGAGTGTCCAGCTGCCTGCGCCCAGTCTGCTGCCAGACCACCTGCCGCCCCAGCTGTGGAGTGTCCAGCTGCCTGCGCCCAGTCTGCTGCCAGACCACCTGCCGCCCCAGCTGTGGAGTGTCCAGCTGCCTGCGCCCAGTCTGCTGCCAGACCACCTGCCGCCCCAGCTGTGGTGTGTCCAGCTGCTACCACCCAGTCCGCTGCCAGACCATCTGCTGCCGCACAACTTGCTGTCGCTCCCGCTGCGGTGCATCCTCTTGTTGAATTCATATCTGACTAGCAACCATGAGCAAGCCGCCATCACCTCAGCATGAAAGTGTCGTTCATGTTAACTTTTCCATGTTTTAAATGACCACCAACCTTGTCATCCTGTGATACCACTAAGCCACTGAAGAAAGGGCGCCCGTCTACACTCAGTACCACTCCTGTCTCCCTCAGTCTCTTCCCTGCGCTCAGCCCTCAGCTGCATGATGCAGTTGGACTGAACCCCTGAGCCTCTGCAGCTATGCTTGCCTTGACCTTCACAATTACATGTTAACTATTTCTCAATAATAATATTATATTGATACCATACATTCTTGTATCCTTCTTCAATTATTTCTGAGAGTTGATGGCCAGTTTTTTTTCTAGGATTCCTTCTCTCAAGATGAAGAGAAGCATGGGTTTCTGTGTCCAGGAAAGAAAACTGACTTTTCAAATATTACCTAATATTGGTATTCTACAAAGGATTTCAGATTGTTTTAAAATAAAATAACCCACCTTACTTAACAAGCAATAGTTTTCTTCTCCAGTCAATAAAACCATGTATCCCCTGTCTTGGAAAATGGTCATATAGAAGGAATAATAGTTATAAATAAAATGAGTTAAGCCAGTAAATTTAGGGAACAAGTGCGGGTCACAAACCCATGAGATAAAGAGGAGGAAGGGGAGACTGGAAAGTATTTACATTCTTGTGATGACAAGAGGGAGATAAGTCAAGAAATCAGTTTCCATTGACCTAATGTGGCCGAGAGGAAACCTCGCTGGCCCTCCCCAACCTCCTTCATGTTCATGACACTGTACTAAAAAGGCCATAAGCAAATGAGGAGGCTATGGGGTTGTGGGGGGGCCCACGTGGACAAGTCAAACCCCCCCCCCACCCACCCCCCCGCCCCAGGACGGTCTGGGGAGGAGCTGAGGAAGGAGCTGAGAGAGGGGCAAGGATGAGGTCATCAGGGAGAGGACTTAGGTTGCACTTGAAAGCTGTGCCCTGAGCCTGCACTCTTGGAATATTCTTACATACCACAGGTCTCTGGAACCTCAGGAGACTTGGTCACACTCAGGTCAGCAAACCAAATGTCTCCTGCAGCCACATTGCTTCACTTGTCCTGTCTGAATCCACCTCCACATGAAAAGAGGACACTTGAGTCAGGGCAAAATAAATGAATTAATAGAATAAAACAATTATTAGAAGAAAGGGACCACGAAAACATTATAGACATTCTAAACTGAGGAAATCGTATTCTTTTCAGCAATGATCATAATTACGAAGGATGATAAGTTATGGGTAAGAGTGCAGTGAGCAGCAATGCCCCACATTTCAAGCTGAAGCACAGATGCTGTAAAAGCCACTGAGAGTGATTAGTGAGCCATGCAGCTTGTGGGGAGGACAGGAGGAAGCTGAGGCTAGAAATACTGGCCAATTTCTAATTTTGATGGGCTTGGTTGTTGTGGTAAGGCAATTATACTGATAACTGTCAGAATTCGTGTAAGTTGGGCAAAGCACGTTGTCAAACATCTTCTCCGCTCTGGCTCCACTCAGCTCAAGTTGCAGTGTTTCCATCGGCCTCTTACCACGATGGGGGGCTTCAGACTCATGGTCTCCCCCAAGGCAATATGATGCTAAGGCGGCCATCTGACTGTCTCAGCTCTGTTCTTCAGCAACTACCTTTCCTTTTGGAAATACAGATTAATCACTACTTCCTGGGTCTTTAAGGGAACTTCCATTTCATAACCTAAAAATATCAATAGGCCCAAGAGTTGAGGATATTAGTTCTAACCAAAGTTTAATTGGAAAGGAAAAAACATTCAAAAATTAAACATCACTTCCAGATATCATTAGAAAAATATGGCATAAATAAAATCATACATTTAGAATCAGTTATTTATTGCTAGTCATTTATCTTAAAACAGTCACTGCTCTCGTTAAGATTCTCCTTGCAGCATTCCTCTCCTGGTAACGCATGTGAGAATGTGCACACATGCCTGTTTCAAGAACAAGGACTGAGAAATCTGGTAAAGCAAACTCAGCACATTTGTGGTTTTGTTGTTTTATCTCTGTTTTATAACAAATAAAAATATCACCTCCCCCAGAGAAAATCTTCTGTTTTATTGTTATTTTAATACTATTACTGCATATGCCAATTGCATCAATCAAGATCCAGAACATTTCCATCACCGCAAAGATCTCTGTGTCATTCTTTGATAGTCACAACCATTTCCCTCCCCCTCCCACCTCCTCCTTCACCCCTAGCAGCTTCTGATCTGTTCTCCATTTCTATACTTTTGCCATTTCAAGAATTTCATGTAATGGAAACATACAGTATGTAACATTTTGGCGTCATCATTTTTCACTCAACATAATTTTCTCTTGAGTCATCCAGGTTTTTGAGTATAAAAATAGTTCATTCTCCTTAAATGCTGAGAAATATTCCATAGTATGAATGTACCGCAGTTTGTTTAAGCATTCACCCTGTCAGGGAGGGGAAATTCCTCCCTCTACCCTTCCTGAGTTCTTATGCCTGGACTAATAATAAACTTGACATAGGATCAGATTAACAGGAGAAAAACCAATTTAATAAGTATGTATGGGAGATCATTAAAAAATGATCCTCAGAGAGTGAACAAAACAGGCAGTGTATGTATCTTTGTACATAAAGAGATAATAAATTTGTGAAGATTTGACAAGACAAAGAAACTTAGGTTTAGGGTGTATAATTAGTGAGGAATTTAAGTGGAGTTTGGGTTTGAGGTAATAAATTAGTAAAGATAACAAGGTTCGTTTACACTGGCCTCTTGGTCCTGAAGTCCTCAGCTCCCTTGATAAATATGTCTCTGTCTGCTGGTGGGGGACGGTATCTTTCACACGAGGGATTTATCTCTTGCTTTCAGGGGGAACAGAGAGAGGAAGATCAAAACTTTAAGTCTAAACGAGAAACTTTAATTCAAAATAATTAATATGCCGTTGTGGGATATTTGGGGGCAGCCTGCCCTGGACCCCACCAACCCTCTGAAGGACATCTGGGTTGTTCCCATTCTGTGGCTCTCATAAATAAAATTGCTAACAACATTTGTGAACAGGTAATTGTCTCAACAAAAGTCTTCATTTCTTGCTATGAAAATAGGAGTGCAATTTCTGGGTCATACGGTAGTTTCATGTTTAGTTTTTTAAAGAACCGCCAAACTATTTTCTTGACTACTTTTATCCTTTTACCCTTCCCATCAGCATTATACAAGTGATGCAATTTCTCCACATCCTCACCAGCATTTGGGGTTGCCTATTTTTTATTTTGGCTACTGTGATGGGTGTGTGGTGATCTCTCCTTGTGGCTTTAATTTGTACCCCCCAATGGCTATCAACACTGGACATCTTTTCCCGTGTTTCTTTGCATCTACATATCTTCTTCAGTGAAATGTCTCTTCATGTCTTTTGCCCAAGCTCTAACTGGACTGTTGGTTTTTTTTTTTTACTGTTGAGTTTGAGAGATCTTTATATATTCTAGATACTAATTCTTTGTCAGATATGTGATTTGCAAATGTTTTCTCCCATTCTGTAGATTGTCTTTTCGTCCTCTTAACAGTGTTTTGTGCAGAGGAAAAGTTTTAATTTTGGTGAAGTTCAATTTATCAATTTTTCCTTTCAGAGTTTGTACTTTTGGTGTCAATAGTAAGAACTCGTTGCCTCCTCCAGGATCCCAAAGGTGTTCTCCTATGCTTTCTTCTAAAAGTTTTACTTTTTATATTAAGTTTGGGACATATTTAGAGTTAATTTTCTTAGGAGGTGTGAGACTCAGGTTGAGGTTTTTCTCCCCCCCCCCCCTTTTTTTTGCCTACAGATATCCACTTGCTCCTTTGTCAAAAAATCAGTTGGGCATGTTTGTGCGAGTCTGAGTTATCATTGTTTTTAACTGAAGATTGTATCCCTTTGATACTTAGATAACGAATGTATTTTTATTTAATTTCTAGAGAGCTTTATTAAGATTTAATTCCCAATCCATTGAATTCACCCATTTAGAATATAAATTCAATTTTTCAAGAATCTTGATAGGGTTGTGCCACTCTCACCACATCTAATTTTAGAATACTTTTGCCTCCCTGGAAAGAAGGAAATGTCATACCCATTTAGTGGTCACACTCCATGCCCCCATTCTTCACCCCAGCTGTAGGCAAACCCTGATCTACTTTCTGTCTTTCTAGATTTGCCTTCCTGGACAGTCCTATATGTAGAATCATACAGTAAATGGTCTTTGTGACTGAGTTCTTTCACTTAGTATCCTGTTTCAGGGTTCATCGACATTGTAGCATGTGTTAATACTTCATTCCTTTTTATTGACTAATAATATCCCATTGTATGGATATACTACATTTTGTTTATCTAGTCATCAGTTGTTGGACATTTGGGCTGTTTCCACTTTTTGGCTATTATGAATAATGCTACTATGAATATTTGTGTACAGCTTTTTGTGTGGACAAATATTTTCATTTCTCCTGAGTATGTATCCAGGAGTGGAATTGTGGGGTCTGTGCATGGTACTCTAGGGTTAATTTCTGAGAAATTGCTAAACTATTTTCCAATGCAGTGCACCACTTTATAATCCCACCAGCAATGTATAACGGCTCCAACTTTTGCACATGCTCACCAACACAAATTATTATCTGTCTCTTAAGTTACGGCCATTCTAGTGGGTATAAAGTGATACCATATTGTGGTTTTGATTTGCATTTCCCTAATGACTAACGATATTGAGCATCTTTTTCATGGTCTTATAAGACATTTGTGTATCATCTTTAGACAGGTGTCTATTCAAATTTGCTCTCCATTTTTAATTGGCTTATTTTTTATTGTTATTACTTAATTGTTTATTATTATTTTTTGTTTGTTATTTATTGTTTGTTTGTTATAATTAATGTTTGTTATTAATTGTTTTTTATTGAGTTGTAAGAATTCTTTATATACCCTGGATACAAGTCCATTCTCCTATATCCTTTACATAAGTGGTTAAGCTGTAGGGCTTACAATATATACCTTGATTTAACAGAATGTACTTCATATTTATCCTGATTTAGTTTCAGTGAAATATAGGAACTTTATTCTCTATAACTCCATTCTGTCCCCCTTTCTTGAGCCATTATTGTTGTACATATCATGTCTACATATGTTTCAAACACAACAATATATTTTTATAATTATTGATTTATATAATTTTATATCTATTAAATGAGATGAGCAAAGAAAGGAGGGAATGTATTTATTTGCAGAGTTATATTAACCTTTTTATTTAACATTTCTAGTTTTCTTCGTTTCTTCCTGTAGA